CCTAAACAAAAATCTGGCATTTAATCGCTACCCAAAAAAAAAAAAAAAAAAAAAGGAATTCCTTCGCTCTTTCTTTTCTTCTGTATTTCCTACAATGTCCAGCATGGAGCCTAACGTGCAGTAGGTGCAAATAAACATAAACCGAGTTGATAATTGTGCATAAAATCACTGACCTAAGGGGGACCAGTGGTGACGGCAGGAACAGTGGAGGCCTCCATGGGAGCTGTCACCTCGAAAGACATCTTATCTTAAAAGTATGGTAAGGGGTAGTCCCATTGGCCCAACAATGATCAGAAGAACGTAATTCGACTCTGATCATATGACAAACCAATGAAATAATCTTAAGCAGCACTAATAAATTGCACAAAGTTCTGAATCTGAAAGTGCCGGACACACACACACACACACACACACACACACACACACACACACACAGGTTTGTTAGGTGATACTGTTTTTAATGATGAATATTCTAGAACTGTTGCTTGAATTTGCCTTTAATAGCAAGAAAAAGAAGGGTTTTTTTAAAAAAGATTCAAGAAATCGAAACTGGAGGAAAGATATGAATGTTTATGGGGACAGCAGAAATGCTTTTCATTTTCTTTTAAGAAGTTTAAGTTCACTGACAGAGGTCGATGACGTAGGCTAATAATTACTATGTTCCGCTTTTATCAGTGATCAACGCTGCCTTTTTTCAGGTGCAGCAGAAAGGCATTCACACACACAAGGCAGGTTGAGACTGTTTATCCACGTGACTTAATGTGAAGGTTTGAACACTAAGTGAACTAGACAGTGGAGCTCCGTATGGCCACCTTGATTTAAAGCTGCTAGTCCGATGGGTAAGCCCTTCAGAAAAATAAGCGCTGCAAGGCGAAGCAGTGTGTGGCCTGGTCCCCTTTTAGCGGTCACTCTAGTGCCTCCAATAGATGATGAGGCCTCAGGACACTGATTTCACTTTTCGAATCAGATTGGGAACTTTGTCCTACATGTGTCAACTGATACCTGCTACCCTGATGAATGAAATATCTGGGCCGTGGTGAGCTGAAGTGTCAAGGAGCTGAGATGATGGGCCCCTCTGGTCCTGGCCCAGTCCCGCTGGGCAGTCACAAGACCACGGCCCGTCCATTTCCGCCCCGCGCTGTGCAGGAGGCCTCAGGGCACTGACCCAGGGCCCGTGTTGACGCAGCTTCCTCCTTTTACCCAAACTGAGCAGCCAACAAAGTGGCTTGAGCTCCACGTTCACCATCTTGTCTTTGGTTTAAACGCAGAGGTGCTGCCCCTGCTGGCAAGTTTTTAAGAGCTAGAGACACTGGGAAAGGAACATAGGGTTTGGGAGGGAAACCAATACATCTCTGGTTTACTAAAGTTACTTTGAACACCCTCCTTTTTTTTTTTTTTTAAATAGAAATACAGTTGCCAAAGAGAAAGCAGCAATTTAAATGCCAAAAGCACCAGGCATAGCTAGCAAGGGAGTGGTGTTCAAATGATTAATTATACTCACACTGGCTCTCCTCTGAACCGTTCTCATGCTAAGAGCTTCACAGACTTGCCAATTAGTTAGTGTGAATCATCTTCCACTTGCCTAATTTGCCTTCAAAGTTTGTACTCAGCAATTTGCACTTACTTAAATATCAACTTACATGGTTTTGGTTTTAAGGGGGGGCGGGTAGGAAAATCAGCTCATGCCTTAGTATTTCAGCAATTAACTTGGTCATTTTAGGAAATTTTAAAAATGACTTTTATTCTGCTGCAGTGCAGAACTCAGGATGAAATGGAGCCATTTTAAATCTCATCTAACAGGGCCGATTATGAGAAGAAATAGAAGGACTTCGTTTTGGGGACAGAGAGTCGGCCATGGGAGATCTTAAGACGCCAAAGTTATCTATCGGCTGTTCACTCCTTTTAAAGTACCCCGTCTACTTTCATATGGCTTCTTTAAATGCAGTACTAGTTCTGAAATAATGTGGAATTATTCCTCTTTACTTTATGCAAACCTGTTTTACTACCCCAAAATGTATTCTTTAAAAGAGACTTTTTTTTTTTCAGCAGTAAATTTCAAGTCTGAGTTTGATCTAAGTTCTTTCTCTCTAACACACAAAGGTCTAACCCGAGTGTTGCTGGCTCCACAGCAGTTTTTAAAAGCCAACCGAGCATCCACATCCTCCGCCACACTTCCCCCCAGCCCTCAGGAGCACTCCTCTCAGACCTGGACCTCTGCTGGCACCTCAGCCGCGGTCCACAGAGGAGGGGATGTCTGTCACCTGCAGCCTGGTCAGCACTGCTTTTTCAAAACATGGCAGCTGGGAGGCTTCTCATGCCTGAGTGAGCATGTGAGAAATTCTTGGAAACTTTCAACAGTGGGCAGGGCAGGGTGAAAAGGCCCAAATCTTTAGGAAAGTATACTAAGTTCTATTTGCCTTAGAGACCCTACTCTTTAAGGAAAAATACAGGACAAGCTGTGTTAATACTCAACTTGTCAGGTTACCCATGGTGGAAATATGACACTTGGTGCAGGATCAATTAGATGTCCCATTTAAGGGAAGTGAGAGAAAGTGTTTACTAGATTTGAAGGGATTTCAAATAAGTCAGGACTCTCACAGTAAAATAGACAGACTGACGTATAAGACAGACAGCTGCCCTTCCATCTCTTAACATAGATTTCTGCTTTAAAAAAAAAATCTTTGGCTTTTTTGAATCTAGCTGGTTATATGAAAATCAGGTAACTGATGTCAGGTGCTTTCTTGGGAGAAAAGACCGTGGATCAGCAGACATGACAGCATCATGATCTAAATTTTAAAAGTCAAAATTGAGAGCCAGGTAAATACGGGGAGAAGCACATTTCTTTGTGGTGCTCCCCAGAGCCGTTCCTGGGATGGGCGGGGTCTACATGGCAACAGTAGTGTTTCGGTCACTGTTCCATGATGCACCATGGCGTACAAAGGGTGGCCTCTGACAAAAATGCTACGGGCAAGAGTCGGGGTCGACCAATTTAAAAAGCAGCAAATCCGCAAAAACAAAAATAAATTTCTGTGATTCCCACGTGGCCTCTAGAAATATAGGAAATGAAAATTCCACATAAACAAAGAAATTTGCACAGGCTGCTGGCACATCTGATGGCAGCAATCAAAAAGGGCAGAACACCTGGAAATGAGAGCATTAAATAAAAGTCTCACATGCCTGCTCTCTTTCCAAAGAATAATTTTTTTTCTATCGACTACTGAAATCATACCGTATTGGGATTCCTAACTGAAAGAACCCTTCGTTTCAGAAAGAACACTGAAAATTAATATGTAAAACAAAAATTGCTAATATATAATTACTCATAATGACAAAGATGGACATTCGATTTGACAGAGCAAAAGGCATGATGAAGCCCATTTGAAGCAAACGTTGCGAAAGCAACTCACCTGGAAATCCTGATCGTCGATTCCAAATCTCTCTCTCAGGTTTCGGAAAACCATCGGGCAGTATTCCTTAAACTTGAAGTGGCTCGGCATGTTTTCTCTGAAACAAGATATTGTGAGACAAAGCTCAGATACACAGAGAGGTAACCAGACTTGAATCTCCCACCAGCTAGTTCTACAAGTAGCCAAAACAGTGCTTGGAGTTCCCTGGCCACAGAGGGCACAGAACTTCACATAGTTGACCCTTGAACAATGCGGGGGTCAGGGGTTAGGGGTGCCAACCCTCCACACGGTTGAAGATCCACGTAGAACTTTTGACTCCCCCAAAACTTAACTATTAAAGCCTTACTGATAACGGTTGATGAACACATATTTTGTACGTTGTATGTATTATAGCCTATATTCTTACAATTAAGTCAGCTAGAGGAAGAATATGTTATTCGAATCATAAGGGAGAGAAAAATACACTTACGGTACTGTACGTATTTATTTTACACATCTGCATATGAGTGGACCCGCACGATTCAGTCTCGTGTTGTTCAAGGGTCAATGGTACAACCCATAGTAAGATCCAGGGGTCAGAAGGGACAGGCAATGACATTTGTGTCCTCTCAGTACCTAGGAGGACTAGGCCCATCTGACCTTTATATCCTGACCACGTGCTACAGCTGCTTCCCCAAAGAGGAGGAAGATGAGGTGGAAAGAGAAAGGATGTGTGGAGAAAAACAGTGAAGGAAAAAAGCAACAAATGTGGGGACTTAGGGAAGGGCAGCAGAGGGAACCGCAAACACTTGACCTTGGTGACCTGCTGATATAAGCTTACAAAACAAGTCTGTTTCTCACTCCCTGAACTACCTATTTCGTTTTATATAAATACCGCATTCTAAATTCACATAGAAAAGATGCGCTCAAATGGTCAACCTCTAAACAGCAGTATGAGAAGAATTTACACATGAGCTTCATGTTTGAACAACGGTCCCACGTGGGAGGAATTTCTTTGAGGCTCGTCCTACTCAATCAGAATTGTTTCCTCCTCTGTGCATCCCACCCCCACCCCCCCAACCCCTGACACACACACTCTATTGTGCTGCTTTGCACACCAAACTACAGTAATTTGTGTATGTGTCAGTTTTCAACCACCTGGCTGACTGTGAACCCCACAAGGGCAGGGTCATTTCTTATATATCCTTGTGCCTCTGGCTCTCAATGGACTGCTTAACACATAAAATACTCCACAATGACGTCTAAAATGACATTCAAATGAAGGAGAAATATTCTCAATGCCCAATATAGCATCCAATTATGTTTTATGAAAATGCACCTTAATTTTCTATTGTTCTATGAAGTTGTCATTTCTGTTCATAATCATTATCATAGTTTTGTGTAAGATAGCTGAGGTCCATAGCTGCTAAGAAAAAAAAAATTCAAGCAATTACAGCTTGAAACATTTAAATTGTAATGAGAATATCACTTTTAACATATAAGATATTCATAGAGAACAATATGCCATATGGCTAAAGGATATTACCCAAGAGGGCCTGCTGTTGCTTTTCTGAAAATGACAGATGGTTATGTTTATCACAGGATTAACTTCATCAGCAAAACTTTACTCCCACCCATTGAAAAATAATGTGATTATAGAAATTCACAAAAATCATACTCCTGGCAGTCATATCAGTTCTAGAAAAGCTTGTATTTATACTTACTTGTTAAAAAGGTGATTGTCCACCTTTATCTTTGAGTAGGCTTTGAAGTCATCTGGCATCAACATAACAGGGATTTGAACATGGCTCAGTTCATTGATCTAGAAAAATACAAAATAAACGACACGGGTTATTACCATCTAGGTGGGAAGTGGTTGGAACTTTCAGCCCACCTGTGAGCTCAGGGATGGGGCAGGGGGATGCTGGAGAAGATTAAGCACTATAAAGACTCTCAAACAATAGGAGTTGATGAGTTTCCTGGTTGGTGAAGGCATCCACGTGCCAGGGGGTGGTACACTCCAGCGCCATGGCGACAGAAGTGCCAGCATGCTGGACCTTTCTGGGCCTTGCCCTATGTACCTCTTCATCTAGATTATAACATTTTTTAATGATAAACTGGTAAATATAAGTAAACATTCCTCCCAGAGCCCTCTAGCAAATTAATTGAACCCAAGGAGACAGTCTTTTATAGCCAGTCACTAAGAAGCACAAGTAACAACCTGAACTTGTGACTGGCCTCTGAAGTGGGAGCAGTCTTACGGGATCGAGCCCTTAACCTGTGAGATCTGAGGCTATCTCCAGGAAGACAGTGTCAGAATTGAGTTAACTGCTTTGTGCTGTTGGAAAAAACACATATCAAATATATGTATACGTAAATACATATAAATAAAATGTGTGCGTATATCCATCAAAACTATTTTTCAAAAAATGGAAGCAAGATAAAGGTTTTCTCATATTAATAAAACTTGAGAACTCACCTACAGCAGACCTCACAAAAGGAATTTATAAGCTTTAAAAGCATATTACATATTTAGACTCTAAGGATATATGTCAGAAAGATGGTAATTGTGTGTGGAAGGTTTGAGATACAAAAAATGTCAGTAAGCAAATAAATTGGTAAATATGTAAATATAAGTCAACATTGCCTATTTAAAGTAATAATGCCCAATTTATGGGATTAAAAAGGACAGAAATAACACTGAATGGCAACAGCGTGTAAGTTGGGAAGCGGATGGTCAAAGTGCAGTGTTCACATATTGCCCAGGAGGGTTAAGAGGTTAACTTTATATTTTTTTTTAATTTTTCAATTACAGTTCACATTCAGTATCATTTTATATTAGTGTCAGGGGTACAAGATGTTAACTTTAAGTATTAAGGTAAAATTCCAAAGACAAACATTAAAAGAATCGAAACAGTCTATAACCTCCACAATAGGAGAAAAGAATGAACAGTAAGAATATAAATAAAACTCATTTAAAAGAAAAACAAGCACTGCAAAAGTCGGATGAATTGAAAGTAAGTGATAGAAACAAATCTGGATCAATACATAATCAAAATAGGCATAAATGAACTTGTAGTTAAAAATAAAGATTGTCAAGATGAATTTAAAACGACCATAAACTATATGCAAGGGACATACCTAAAACATAAGAATTCAAAAAAGCTGAAAGTTAAGGAACAGAAGAAACATATTAAATAGTACTAAAAATTACTGAAAAGCTAGCTTACCTTTCCTAATATCAGGTAAACTAATAACTTTGAGACAAAGGCATTATTAAGGATACAGAAGGTGTGTACATAATGGTAAAAGGTTCAGTTAGCCAAGAAGATAGGATTCATATTTTATAAGTACCTAATTAGCCTGAAATACAAAGCAAAGTTTGTTCGCACCTCAGGAAGAATGGACAATCCATCATTATAGAGGAAGTTTTGAATATGCTTTTATTGATAGTTTCAGACAAAAAATTAAGGATGGTAATAGATTTTTAATCAACACGTTGAACATCATTCAATTTTCGCTGCACACTTATTCTTGCCAAATATTCTAGCTGGATACACTGCTGAACAAAACAGAGTAAGATGCCTGTCCTCCTAGAGCTTATATTTTAGTAGAGAGTCAGAAAATAAAACCATAAACTTGGGAAATTATTCGTTAGAAGTCAATTATCCACTCTGTTAGAAAGCTATGGAATAAAGAAAAAGCAGGATAAAAGGGCTAGGAAATGCTTATCCAGTGTGTGGGTGACGGTCACTGAGTATTTAAAATAGGATGGGTTAGGGTAGGCCCAAGTCTGCATAATTCGCAGGGGCCAGGACATGGAAGCAACCGAAGTGTCCTATAATAGATGACTGGATAAAGAAGCTGTGGTACATACATACAATGAAATATTACTCAGCCATAAGAAGAGATGAAATATTGTCATTTGCAACGACATGGATGGACCTCGAGATAATCATGCTAAGTGAAATAAGCCAGACAGAAAAAGTTGAAAATCACATGATATCACTTATATGTGGGATATAAACCTAAAATCAACAAATGAACAGGACAAACAGAGACTCATGGACATGGACTACAGACTAGTGGTTACCAGAGGGTAGAGAGGGAAGGGGGAGGTAGACGGGGTCAAGAGTGTCAAATACGTGGTGACAGAAAGAAATCAAACTATGAGAGGTGAACACACAGGGTGAGCATATATACGCCTTACTGTTGAAATGTACAGGTGAAACTTATTAGATTTCGTTAACCAATGTCACCATAAAAAAATAAACTAATTGATTTTAAAAAAGAAAGAGATTAGGGAGTTAGCATTTCAGTGCAAAGGCCCTGGGCTAGGGGCGTGCCTGCTATGCTTGGGACAAGGAGACCAGTTGGGCTGGAGCAGATTAGTGTGGGAAGAAATAATAAGAGCTGAGATCAGAGAGATAAGGGGGAGTGGGTCCTATAGGGGCCTGCAGGTCACTGGAAAGACTGGCTTTTCCTGTGAATGACATGGGAGCTGTCGCAGGGTTCTAGGTGGTAGAGTGATGATATCACTTAACTTTGGGTTTAAAAAGTTATTGGGAAGGGTGGGGCGCAAGTAAAGGAGTAGGGAGTCCAGTAGTAATAACTAGTCGTAGCAGTTAATAAGTAATCAGCTTCATTTTGCTTTCACTAAATTAGTGATAGTAGTATTGACACCGTAATGATGGTCTGTTTTGACCAGAAGGACAACAGTGTGGCCAGGGACAAGTCAGATTCTGGATATATTTAAGAAGCAGAGATAATGTAATTTCTTGGACTTCTGAATGTGAGGTGTGAGAAAGACAGATGCCATGATCCACTCAGAGGCTTAGGCCTGAGCAGCCAGAGGGTGGAGCTGCCACCAGCCCAGATGGGGGACTGCTCACTGTCTTCCTTTTTATGCTTTTGATTTTTGAATCATGTTAAAGAGCTGCCTGTTCTACAAATTAAGTACTTTAATAATTTAAAAAAAAAAAAAACCATGACAAAAAGAAAAACATATATGCAAACTATCAGGTATGATTTTATAAAATAAACATATTGATATTTATATGTAATGTAATAATTAAAACATATACTATATAATTATGGTTTGTGGGGCACTGCACAATTCCCAAACCTGATGATCAGACTGGACTCCACCACCCCCAATTCCTGATCCACTCTGATTTTCACGGGTACTTGCCTTTTTCACACAACTGCTAAGAATCCAGCTTCCCAAAGATATCAATCATTTAAAGGAAAGTAGTACGATCTAAGTTGAGAGTGTGGACTCCCTCGAGCTAGCAGTTTGCATGTGTCTTACAGATGCTGAGTATCACCACGTTGCCCTTGACATTTTAAAATATCGTGTGGCACTCCTGTTGAATTTGCTGCAGTGCCCTAGGGTGCCTTGGCACAGATATAAACAATGGCAGATGCTTAAAACAGCAAATGATTAGATTATAATCTAATCACGGAATAAGATAATTAGAATAATACCTTAAAATGCATTGCAATTGATTATAACCTATAAGTACTTTATATTCATCCCCAAAAACCTTAATTGAAACCTCCAGTTAATCCTTAACTTGCAAAAACTAATGGTTTATATCACCTTTCCATGAAAGTGGTTTTCTTGGAATAACTCTATCGACTGCATTTGTGCAAGGCCAACTTACAATTCTCTTTCTATCAAATTATTTCAATAACTTAATCAGATATCACTCTTAGCCTGTTCCATATTAATTAAAATATCATGTTATGATGTGTAAAAATGTATGAAACTGCCACTTAACAAAACTAGACTAATTTAAAATCGTATCTCTTCCATTCAGTTTACTCAGGTATCTTACAATATTATGTAATTCTCAGAGTACATTTGTGAAAACTTTAGATTTTTATATATACTAGCCCTGGAATAGCGAAGTTTTCCTTTTTTAAAGAGAGAATCAGAACTGAAATCCAAATCTTGTGACAATAAGCACAATCAGAATGAAGCTGAATGACAATCCGACTTTTCAATATTTTGCGCAAATAAAAGTAGAAATAAACGTAACGAAAGTCTACAGGGTGGCAAAGAAAAGTTAAGGTGTAATCAACTTCATATTGCTTTCATTACATTATAAAGAAACTAGTTGGAGAGAACATAATAAATGATTCCTTCTATTATACCTAGGCTTCAAGTAATTATTGAGAAAGCAAAACCCAAGCTGGAAGTGGGAAAAGAGCAAGTTTTAAAATCCTTTTTGCTTTATAGTTCCTGTTCTGAAAAACGTTTTTGGGGCAAAAAAAAATGAAAACATTTCAGACAAGATGGAATGTGTAATCTGAGCATTTCCTGTATCAATATTCATTAGCCACCATCCTTTCAGTGTGTGAGCATCCACCCTGGGTTGGGGGCTGTGCAAACACCAGCGTTCACCCTCACAGGCGCTTCCAGTCTAGTGGGGCACACACATCAACTGAAGGATAACATTCCAACAAGGACAAGGTCAGGAGGGAGAAGGACATCAGGCTAGCAGCCAGCACAACAGAGGCAATGGCCCAGGGTGGTGCTGTCTGAAGGGGGCGCTGGACTCCAGCAGGAGAAGGCAGGCGGAGGGGTCCCAGCAAGCAGGGTCACAGTGCGAAGGACCTGGGTGGGGCAGGAGGGCCACACCAGGAGAAATGAAAGGCTAACGTGGGAGGCCTGCAGAGACCTGTGACGGGGATGGAGCCTGGCAACGGGTGGGGGGCAGCCCAGAGGAAGGAATCCGATTCCAGCGAGACCGAGATGGTAAAACCGGCTTGCACAGCATTAAGGACCGTGATTCTACTGAGATACCAAGATGGTAA